ACAGCAATTTACAGGGTTTGATTTATAACCGTTGATCAAACCCGAGATCGGCACGTGTAACGGACGTGTCACTAAATAGTGCAACGTTACAGTAATGATTAGCAGACGTGGGCAAATCATGAAACGCCATGTCGCTTGACAATTCTATCCGTTGGACCCATTAAATGCGGACGCGTCTTTTTAGAACTTCCACGTCAGTCCAAACGTTACACAACCATCACAGACAAAGTTGAAAATGAACCAAGTGTTCCCATGTCGGTCACAAAATAAAGACAAGTCGGAAAGCAACCAAGTCGGAGTTAAAAAGACAATAACGACATCAGCAGCCATTTGACGAAAAGCTCAAATACCTACTAATGTCGGGGGCCTCTCTGTTGATAACCGACTTGGTTTTATGAGGTAAGAGCCGAAAGTTAATTGTTTCGTTCAATATCTACTAATTATTTCGCCACGTCAAGTCGGTACCAGTTAAATACATTGAATACCGACTTCCAAGTTGACTGAAAGTAAAACCGACAATCGACAACTTATCAGAAGCCGACAATCGACTTCACCAACATTATGAAGATGACCTTCAAAATGTTATCCATTCATCCGACATCCGAGAAGATCGAATTTTCAAACAAGAGGAGCTGTACACATCCAATTGGACCATCAAAACAAAAAGCAATTATTGATGTTTCCTCATTCCACTACACACCGTTTAATTGAAGCTGCTCAACATTAAATGCGATCTTATCTACCTCGGACAAAAAGACAAAAGCAACCGAACTAAAAATAGCAGAATTTATGGTTGTACAAGGATCTTTTTCTGAATCTGGAAACACACATTGTACACGGACTTGAAATGATCTCGGTTAAGAATAAAAAACCGACTTCATGTACTCTTGTGAACATATCAATAAAATCCAATTTTACATTTATCTTTGTTTAAACACACCTTACCTTTCGTGATTTTAAGTTGTTAATTTCATACAACAGGTAAGATAGCAAAGAGGTCGTTTACAGCAATGGGGTATACGAGCCAAGAAGTGCTAGAATTGATTCATTCTAATTTGTGTGGTCCTATGTCAATCCAGGCTAGAGGAGGTTTCGAGTACTATGTATTTTCATAGATGATTACTCGAGATTTTGGTGCGTTTACCTGTTGCAGCGCAAGTCCGAATGCTTTGAGAAATTCAAGGAGTATCGGGCAGCTGTGGAGAAGCTTCATGGTAAAAGTATCAAGTCACTTCGTTCTGATGAGGGTGGCGAATACCTCTTTGGAGAGTTCAGGACATACTTATCGGAAGCTGGGATTGAATTCCAACTGACTGCACCCGGCAAGCCCAAGCAGAACGAGGTTGCAGAGCAATGAAATAGGACTCTTATGGAGATGGTTAGGTCAATGATGAGTTATTCGAGGTTACCAAATTCGTTTTGGGGAATGGCATTGGAAACAAAATCGTACATTCTGAACTTATGGTAGGGCGCAAGCCAGGGTTTTCACATATTCAGGTATGGAGTAGTCCTGCACACGTTTTAGTGCAGGAACCTGGCAAATTGGAAAAACGTTCAGAAGCATGAGTTTTCGTAGACTATCCCAAGGAAACAAAAGGTGGATTATTTTATAGTCCTGGGGATCAGAAGGTTATCTTTTCGACGAACGCTAGATTCCTGGAAGAAGACTATATTATGAATCATAAGCCCGCGAGTAGATTAGTCTTAGAGGAGTTAAGGGGTGAAGTCGATGGTTCCCCACCGAGTGCGCAAATAGATACATCACATAATAATGAAACACGGCACACTGAGAGTGTACCAGTGCAGAAAGTGCCTCGTCGTAGTGGGAGGGTTTCTCATTTACCCGACTGATGGATAGGTCTTGGAGAGTCATCGGACTCAATTCTAGGAGGCCTAGAATCGGACCCAAGTACTTACGATGAGGCACTCCAAGATAAAGATGCAGATTCATGGAATGTTGCAATGAAAGCTGAAATAGGGTCAATCGACTCCAATCAGGTCTGGGATCTTGTAGAACCACACGATAGGGTACGACCCAATTGGATGTAAGTGGATCTATAAGAGAAAGAGATGATCAGATGGGAAGGTGCAAACCTTTAAAGCTAGGCTTGTTGCGAAACGTTATACCCAGATTGAGGGTATTGATTATGATGAGACCTTTTCGCCAGTAGCTATGCTTAAGTCCATTCGGATTCTCTTGGTTGTAGCCGCCCATATGGATTATGAGGTCTGGAAGATGGATGTCAAGACGGCTTTCCTTAATGGGAACCTTCAAGAAGACATCTATATGCAGCAACCAGAGGGATTCATTGCTGAAGGTCGTGAGCATCTAGTGTGTAAGCTTAATCGGTCTATTTATGGACTGAAGCAAGCTTCGAGATCTTAGAACATCCATTTTGACGAGGTGATTCAGTCGTACAGGTTCACTCAATGTCTGGATGAGCACTGTGTTTACAAGAAAATCAGTGGGAGTGTGGTGGTGTTTCTTGTGCTTTACGTAGATGACATACTTCTCATTGGAAACAATGAGAAGGAGTTAACAGACGTAAAGGTGTGGTTGTCTAAGCAGTTTGATATGAAGGACTTAGGAGAAGCAGGACACGTTATTGGTATTAGGCTCATTAGAGATCGTGAGAAGAGAATGTTGTGCTTATCCCAGTGTTCATACATAGATACTGTCTTGGCCAAATTCAGGATGTAGGATTCCAAGAAAGGTATGTTACCTTTCAGACATGAAATACCTCTATCTAAAGAGATGTCGCCTAAGACGTCTGAGGAGATAGAGGAGATGAAAACAGTTCCTTATGCTTCGGCATTAGGAAGCCTTATGTATGCGATGTTGTGCACTAGGCCGGATATTAGCTACGCCGTTGGCATGGTAGCTAGATATCAAAGTAATTCAAGACGGGAACATTGGTCTGCGGCGAAACATATACTCAAGTACCTGAGAAGGACTAAGGAGTACATGTTAGTTTACCGTGCAGACACCTTGTTACCTCTGGGTTACAGTGATTACGATTTCCAGTCAGATAGGGATAAAAGTAAGTCAACTTCAGGTTATGTGTTTACCTTGAAAAATGGAGCCATTTCATGGAGGAGTGCTAAGCAGAAATACGTGGCAGACTCCACCATGGAAGCCGAGTACATAGCAGCCTCAGAGGCAGTTTGGCTCATGAACTTCTTAGTGGATTTAGAGGTTATACCGAGTTTGCCATGTGGTATCACCGTGTACTGTGATAACAGTGGAGCAGTAACGAACTCAAAAGAACCTCGAGCCCACAGGGAAGCAAACACATAGAGTGCAAGTACTATCTGATTCGAGATATCGTTGGTAGAGGAGACATTGATGTTTCCAAGACTGCGTCAGATACGAAGAATTTGCCGGGGAAGGTCTTCGTCAAACACGTAGAAGGAATGGGATTCATGAGCATGGCAATAGGATAGACATAGGTCTTTTAGAATAACGGATTGATAGGACTATACTGTAAAAGCGAAAGCTTTAAGTATAAGTGGAAGATTGTTAGTGTTATATATTGAAAGCTTGGTTTTGCATGTTATTACACATTTCCCCTTTATGAATGAGAATCATGTTAGATTAAACAAGTTCTACGTTCTGTTGTTCTGCACTTAGATAGAGTGGGTCGTCAACGGGCGAATCGAGATCACTCTATCAGTTACTTGCGAAAAAGAATAGTTGTTCACAACCTATATGGACATGAACACCCCATCCGAACGGTTGTAGTGTCAACTGTACAGTTTGTCTTGACTGATTAGTTGCACTAGTACATTTATGTATTGAACAGGATCCCAGAGAGGAGAAGTTCATTTTATACTAATCGTCGTAAATGAACTAGGCCTCGGTTAATTACTGCGTTCTCTTAACCAGTAAAATATTAAAAAAGCAAATATATATAATATATATTACTTTGATTTACTTGGGTGAGGTTCAGTTCGCTGGATCAATATTCCTACTGTTTTGGGTAATATTATTATATGTAGGATGTGTTGTTAGGATATTTACGGTCACCATGAGCGTTGGTTTGATGATGTCCTCGGAGTGAGTTCATGAAGGATTGTTATGCTAAACCCTGCAGGTGGATTATGTTCTGGCATAATAAAAATGTGATGAATGAGCACTAGCTTCGGTGAAATAATAATAAATTAATTAATTCTTGATTGTCAGTAATCGAACTAATTAATAGACATTATATCCTAAACGTGGGGAGGTAAATCGAGTAATTATTATTGGAGTCTCAAATGTAATTTGGGCTAAGAAAATGGAGTGAAATAATATAATATTGGTGGCCCATTAATATTATTTAATTAATTAGAGGAGTGAGCTTGGCCCACAGTTAGTCTAATTAATTAAGGAGTCCTATTCCTAATCTCCTAAGGATCCCTACTGTAGCTCTATATATACATCATTAAGCTCATGAGAAGAGAACCAATCTATCATAATACACGACACAAACCGCACGCCCCATCTGTCTTTCTCTCAGTTCTCATTCGAGCTTTATCTTCTTCTTGTTGCTCCACTGATACAAGTTGAAGGGGAGTGTATTGAGTAATACATTAGGAGATCAATAGGTAACCGAGACCCGATTATCTTCTACAGCAATTGACGATCCACGAGCCTGAGCCCGAGGACCGCCAACCGCCGAGAACCGCCGTGACCGAACCGGTGAGATGCGCAAACCGGCAAAGGGAGGCGACTCGAACCGGCGACACGATCCGGCACCTCGGGACTCGACTGGTGGCGATACCCGCGACGCAACACGACTCGTGATCAAGTGCGACGACCCACACGACCTGTTCGCGATTGACATGAGTCGACCCGATTGTTCCGTGCATGTGATCTGATTTGTTCATGTGTTGTGTACGGCCATCTGGAAGATCAACCAAATCACCATAAATTTTAAGCCGTAAGTTTTCTACCTCGACCAGCTCAAAATGCTTTCTTGCAAATGATATAGGACCCATCGTATTCCTATCTTTTTGTCCTTCACTGTGCTCCTTGTTTACTTAATTCCTGCAATTAAACTCATCCTTGAGTTCAAATAATTTGAGAATAATAGCTAAATGGTAAAAGACAATAAAACATTAGTCTATTACATTACGTTAACCTCATCAAGTTTCCAATATTCTAACAATTCTTTAAAATGTGAACCTGAAAGGACTTTGGCCTATTCGTCCATCTTTCTTTGTCATTCTCATACCCGGTGTAATGTTTCTTCTTTATTCTACATTTATGACTACGCCAAAGATCTCCAACCGAAGATAACACATATTCCATGGGCTCCTCTGGGATGATGAATTTCTTCTGCAATAAAGGAATTATTTTATAAAGGAATTATTTTATGTAGTCTCTTAAGTATGATATAGTTAAAATAGTATATGCTAAAACAAACGTTGGTACTTTTTATATGAGTGGTGAGATAGAGATTTCAGTAGTGGATAACACAACAATAAAGACCTGGAAAATGATTACAAGAAAAAATAACCCGTCATATAGAATGTTCAAAGCACCATACCTCACATAATCAAAAATCTTATCCTTGCCGGTAACATGGCGCCAGTCAACATTATTCAGTGGTGCAAGAGTAGAATCTCGAGATATAGACCCCAAAAACATACTAAACTTTGTTAAAGTTTCTTGATCAGGACCAATTGGCTGACCTTTGACATTGAAAAATATGGGTCTACGTTCATCTAATGTCCATGCATGAACGTCTTTGCACATAGTTGGTCCTCTCGCTCGCCTTTTCTTCTCCAACACTACATATTTGGATTTGATAAAAAATCAAAAAAATAAGTCTAAGAAAGCTTCTACCAACAAAATTGTATTAATCAAAACAAAATTTTTAAATAAACATTTAAAGACAACAAAAATAATATATATAGAATTTATATTCAAATTTACCGGGCTGGTCAATGTGACGATCTTGCATGAGAATCTGTTCATTAGTTTCTGCAACTATAGGATCACTGTTTTCTTCAACAGCATAAACATTCGAATGTTGCTGCTTATGTGAACTCCTGATTTCATATCCATCATCATCTTCAAATAATTCGACTCTTACACCTTGGTGTGGTAAACTCTCAGGCTGGTTGACATTATTGACTGGTAAAGATAATCGTTCATCTTCGATACCTTTCCCTCTCAACCTATGAAAAGCACTAAGTGTTCCTGGTAAAACCATCATGTTATTTTGGCTTTTCTTCATACGAGCCTGGTTCTTTCCGTGAGAGTTGTCCTCGGCTTGTTTAGGAGGCACTTCTTGAAGAGGTGGTGCGGAGATCGTCAGAGGTTGTTTCAATTTCAATGCACCCTCATCACATTGATTCTTCTCTTTACTCTGTTCCAAAAGTCTTTTCCGAGTTTGAGAACGTGATTTTATTAAGCTCGCCATTGTCGCCATTGACAACTGTTGTTCATCTGTAATCCTTTCAAGCTCTACGTTTTTGCTAGCAATTACCTTAACACATATACATAACACCTCATATGTGAGCATATGAATAATACATTGAATCATATAAATGGAACAATTTTAGATATATACAACATTTTTTGAGCAAGATCTCAAATTTAGTATTGTCCCAAACCCTAGAGTGTTGTCTTGTTTGGATATTTTTTCTGAATGACCACCTTTTCCAAGTGTGGGCTCATCATCATTTTGAAAGTCTTGAGTAGGCCTTAATGTTTTGTTGATCTTTACTTGCTTAGCCGGTTTCTTCAAATTCATTTTCTCATAAGCCACCGGTCTAAATCCAAGTTCCTCCATCTTCCTTTTATTCTCCTCTACTATCCTCCTTCTTATACTCTCATACTCAGAAATTTCCATCTCCCTGAAAAACATACATGATAACAAAACCTTAGTTAAGATAACCACGCAGGCTGCCTTTCTCATCCACCTGTTAAGAGAAACTTATATATTAAGATAACCAGACTGCCAAGGATTGCATCATTGACATTTTATGGAAAACAATGTGCCTCGTAGATAAAGTTTACTGTTAAAAGAGAACAAAAGGATAAAAACATTTATACTGAAGGATAAAGTATATTATATGCAACACCTAAGACTGCTTTTTCACAAATACATGATGTCTTTCAACAAATTATCACAAGGGAACAAGGTGAAAATAACATGACATGTAGAATACTATGCATTTGCTCTTTTATATACAAATATACCTCAAATATACCCCAGAGAATAGTTGCTATAAAGTAAAAGAATGTGGCATATATAAAACATTACCTTTTTATCTTATGGAGAGAAAAAGAAAAAAAATGAATCACATAGAGAAGTTGAATCTAGTCAACATTTATTTCCCTATCAATTCTTCCCAAATGCACACTCCAAACAGTTATTAGTAAAAGAGTGGGAAACCAATTTGATTCATATTGGTTGCAAATCCTCATTAAAAAATCAATTTATATCAGCAAAATAGGCGATGAATCACTTTCTCAGCATCTCTTATTCTTCTTAGCTATAATAATATTGCTGGACATAAAAGAACTGTAAAAGAAAACAAAATATTGTTGTATAATAATGAAATTGAAAATCTGCTCGTAAAGCAGCATATAAGAGAATGACCCGAATAATTCATATCGACAGGAATGAAGCCTCCTTCGGACCCTAGATGCAAATTGAATCAACCCAAATCGGGATTCATATTTACTCCAACCGAGTAAATCTAAAAAAATTGAATTAGATGCAAATTATTAGAGCACCCTAGATAAGATGCAAAAAATTTTCAAGCACTAAAAACAATCCAGTAGTATATGGAATACCCGATTAAATTTTGTAGCTTGCTTACAAAATTTTTGCTGCTCCTCTAGGACAGTGCAAGCGCAAAAGCCACGTTGTTCATCCGAGATCGAGATTCCTATTCAAAGGAATGAAATGCTTTCGAGAAATTGTGTAAGAGATTTACATAATTTTGTAGCTTGATTGAAAAATTGGAGAGGATTCAGGTAGGTATATGCGTGGATATGGTGGGTTTTAGAAGTGGAGAGAGGTTAACCTAATTTGTGCTTAGTTTTTTTGTTAATTAAAAATAGTGGCTAGAAAGTAAAAACTTAAGATGGAGGGAAACAATTCATTTTTTTGCCTTAATGGAGGGAAATCTTTTGACTTCAGGTATATAAAATCAAATTTTCTTAGCATGCATTTTATATTCTTTTATTAAAAGTAAATTAATCACACATTAAAATAATTATATAACTATGATTTAATTATTCAATATATCAAAATATGGTAAAGTATTCAAATTAATATGCAAAGCATGCGCTTTTAGATTGGTTTTAAATATGCGTGAAATGAAATTCTTATGTCGTAGTACTAATCATAAATTCAAATATATAGATGTGTGTGTAGTTTTTCTTTAACATTTTAAGTTTAAATTAATTTATTTATAGCATATCAAAGTCAATACGTCAAATTGTCCCGAACCGCTCGACCGCTCTTCTCTAACCGGGTTATGTCTTCTCAATCGCCGATACCTGCAAAACACGCCGGGGGTGGTCCTGGTGTGGACACTCCGACACTCAAGTTAGTGGGGGGATTTGAGAGAAACGAGAAAAGCAGTGAGACAAAATATCTTATTTTGTATGTGTAAGAGTGACCCTGTATGGCAGGACTTCTAGTGTGGCAAAGAGTCCTCTTCCCGTCTATCACTCAACAGAACATACTTCATATGATTGCCCAGAACCCCGATCATATTAGACTTCTTCAGCAGGTAGGACTCGCTCCGATTTTTCAAAACCGACTTACTGAGTTATAGTATTTCGGTTCAAATCGGTCGATTACAAAAAGATCTATCAAGATTTAAAAATTTGAAAAACATATATATATTTTTATTAATAAATAGCTAAATCGACCGAATTTTAGAAAATCGTTACCGCTTTATAGTATTTCAGCTCAAATTCGTCGATTACAAATAAGATCTACTAAAATATAAAGCTTTGCATTTTTTTTTATAAGATCTATGCATTGCGAGTATTTTATTGGTCAGTTTTTATATGAAAAATAGAATGTTATAACAGATACGAAGATTGTTATGAGTTTTGTTTCGAAATTTTGAGGTATATTATGATTTGTAAAAAGAGTGCAATAATTTAAAAGATCTATTAAGATCTAAAAAAATTTTATATGTATTTTTTTTAAAAACGCAGATCTCTGTCTAATTCAAATATGCTTTCCTTTGTTTTTTCCGAATTTTTTGTTAACTATTAACAAATCTAGTGCTAAAACTTTTTTTTATTTTTATTTTTTTGTTGTGGGGGATTTAATATACTATTTACATATGTAGTTAAATATTGACAGATCGAGTACTAAAACAATATTTTTTTGAGAAATTTAGTATGCGTTTTACAAATGTTGACCTTATGTTTAAAAGCTTTTGTTCGCATATTTGAGTTAACTAAAATATTATGTTAAATTAAACAACTGTAACGTCTACAATAATTGCTACAATATTGAACACACTAAATAAGTTCTTGCCAATTTTAACACAATCAAAACATTAATACCAAAGACATATATATTTTGTGAAATAAAAAAAATATAATAAATTGAAAAGTAACGTCTTTTGACGGGAATGCCACGTAGGTAAAATTAAATAGATTTTATTTATTGCTTATAGCTAGTAATTATATATATAAATATATATATATATATATATATATATATATATATAGATCTGTCAATTTAGAGAATGTGATAAATAGTTCGGTAACAACTCGTTTAGCCAGAAACCAACTACGGTTAAGCCTACCCCGTGAGTGAGAGCCTCATTTAGCATAACTAGTATTCAGTTAGAAATTGTTTCAAGGAATTTTGTTTCTTTTCCAAATAAATCATTTTACCTTGTTTTTCTAATCAATTCTTAAATTGAAAAGTTTATGTAGACTTGTATCTTTGAAAATATAATACCTAATGGCTAACTGCTTGTAGCTCATTTGTTTACTTACAAATGGAATGAAAAGTAATAGTAATTAGAATTATTCATATTTAGCACTTAAACGAGACCTCTCACATAAACAAGACCTATAGAAATTATATAACACAAGATTTTTGCTTTTGCTTTAGCTGCCATACATATGCATTTCCTGTCGGAGACGACGATGATGGAGGAAATATAAACATCATATCGTCGAGCATTAAAACATTTGAAGGAGTTTACATAAAAACGATTCATATAACAAAAATAAAGAAATAATGACATGTGCCTCTCCATCATGATCCATAAGACACATGAAATAAGTGAGTGAGGTTGGTAACCAGTGAATGACTTCTGATGGCTTAAAGTTGATTCTTCGGAGTCGAGTGACTACGAACAGGTTAACCTGAAATTGAGCAGAATGCGCCATGCACAAAAGCTGTTTGATATAATACCTAGGAGAAGTCTATAAGCCATATGAAACCCAATTGAAACTTATTATAACAATATCAGCTGGAAGTTTTGAAAACATACCTCTATTTGCATTCCAATTCATTCATAAATCTTCATTCCATCTGATACAAAAGAAAAAGAGCAAGTAAAACCAAAAAATAAAAAATAACCAAACTTAGAATCAAGCAAAAATGTAACTTTAACTTACATCATTGTAAGCCTAAACTGGATATCCAATTCATTCTCCAAATTTGCTAAGCCTGATAGTTTATGAACAATAGAGATAAATTTATTAACTCTATAAGAATTATAATAGTAAAAACCTGACCATCATATAATTCAACAGATTACCTTATGACAGAAAAGATTCATCTCAAGGACCAATACACGATAAATTTGTGCCAGCCATATTCCATTCATTTCCATTGTTCTCACCAGAAGCATAATCGGAATCATTGGGGAAAGTATTGCCATGCATGTCAACAACAGTATGAGGTATATCTTCTCTACACCATCTCACATCATCACTATCATTAACCATATTCCCTATCATATCATCAAGAACTTCATTAGGTTCAACCAAAAAAGCTTCCTCTGTTTCACCGAAACCAAAAAACTCTTTTGGCAAATTCTTTGTCGTGTAATGCCAACCCTCTTCTATTGGATCTTCAACATAAAAGACTTGATGCACTTGTGAAGCTAGCACAAAAGGGTCATCTGAATAACAATTCTTGTTGAAATTAACACGAGCGAAACCATAGTCATCATTTTCTACATGAAACCAGTCGCATCGGAATAACACGACACTAAACGATCTCCAATAATCTAGCTCAATGATCTCTTGTATCACTACATAATAAAGAACTTTTCCAGTAACGGGATTATGATCCTTAGTACTCAAAAAAACTTGATGTTAAAGCTGTCAATGTAACCCCACTATTCTGAGTTTTGCATTTTGCATCACGTGCTCTAGTGTAAAATTTATATCCGTTAACAATATAACCCACATACCTTCGTGCAACATTACATGGTCCTAAAGACAACCATTTAATATAAGGAGGAACTTGGTCTTGGTCTAACTCAACCTTTTCTTTAAGCCAAAACATGAACTCTTGGCTATGTTGTTGAGCTTGCCTCCACCTCCTTCTTTTTTTATCTTTCGACATGATCTCCATCATTCTTTCATGCTCCCTGAATTTGGATAAACAATATATTATTAATTATATGCATTATATTTTAAATAAAAGGCATACTAATATCAATTAAAGAGTTACTCACTTCCGATAATTTTGAATTTGTACATCCTCACAATTGAACAATACATATCGATGTGTTGTGTTCTTCATCCAGGTGTCTAGATAAAACAATGTCCCTTTTTTTTTTGTTTTTTTTTCCTCCCAAAGCGATGACCGAATTTAGGAAATATAGGGCAATTTTCTTCACTTACTACAATTTTATCATAATTTCTTGTTCCGCTCCTTGATCGTTTTTTCGCACCTTCCTTCAAATATCTTGAGCAAAACACCAAACACTCTTCTGCCAAATATCCTTCAGCAATAGAACCTTCTGGACAGCTGCGATTCCGAACATTTGATTTCAGTTTTCCAAGGTATCTCTCAATTGACAACATCGACCATCCATGTACTGGTCCACTCAACTTAACTTCATCTACTAAGTGGATAGGCAAGTGCATCATTGAGTCAAAGAACGAAGGTGGAAATATTTTCTCAAATATACACAAAACTTCAACTATTTCATGTTGCAACTGGTTCAATTCAAGTGGATTTACTACTTTATTGCAAACGCCTCGGAAAAATGCACCCAACCTTATCAAAGAAAGAGCCACGTGCTTCAGTAGTGTTTTACGTACTGCAACTTGAAGTAAATACTGCATCATAATGTGTGCATCATGACTTTTATATCATGATATTTTTAATTCTTTCATTTGCACACAACGAGAAATATCTGATGCAAATCCTTGTGGTAGTTTTACCTTTTTCAGAACCTTGCAAAACAATACCTTCTCTTCTCTCGTCATTGAAAAACATGCTTTTGCTAGCAAACACCGCACGTTGCTAGACTCTACAGGATGTAGTGATGCTCTAATCCCCATTTCTTTTTGTTGGTATTGTGGCCCAAATGAGATGTTTTAATGATGGCCCAATATTCAAACATTTCTCTGGCTCAATTTCTTTGGCCTGAGCCCAGTAAGGCAGCCCACATGATCCAAGCAATCTTGACCGTTTACTTTTCTTTTGTTTTAGTTACCTGTTACCTAAATTATTCTTCTAAGAGCACCCACAATGCTTTGGGTCTCTTAACAAAAATCACATGCCACATGAGAAATAGACTTAATCTATAAAAAAGTACTTCCCAATGCAATTAAAAGTGGACATGGTCTAGCTTATATGGCAATGAAAAAAGAGACCAAGTCCACATTTGGGTCTATTTTGGACCCAAGTACAAACCCAAACACTCATCATTTGTTCTTAATTTAATATTTTTTTTAATGAATAAAACATATTAGAGCATTTCTATTAGTTGGCATGTATGCTAGACCTAGTCTTTTTATTTTTGCATTGCAAAGTTTTGAGTTTTTTTACTTGGGTTTGTCCATGTCATTTAAAACTCAAGTCCAATTATATGCCACATATACAAAAAGAGACCCAAAGCATTGTGGATGCTCTAAAATTAGCAGCCATTAGAAGAAGCCTAAGAGTCTCTACACGCAGCCATCTTGTTAGCAGCCTTGAGATTATTCAGGAAATTCAAATTAGTTCTGTTGAGAGTGCAGGCATTAGGAGAATAAATAGCCACCTTAAGAAGTCCATGAGTATGTAGCATTTTTCAAAATTCCCGATCCTATTTGCTCTCAGTTCTCTCGCTTTCTCTTACTCTTTTTCCCAACTTGGTGTCTAGTGATAAATCCTCTCTTATCTTGTTGAATCTTTGTGATTATGAGATTATGAGTGAGTGTGTGAGCCGAGTGTGTGAGATTGTGAGTGAGTGTGTGAGCTGAGTTAGGTTGTGAGGGATTTTGGGGGGTTTTTGTGAGCGGGCTGTTTTCGGGCCAAGTTTGGTGCGACGGTAGGTGGTGTTACCCTGGGTTTGCAGTGCCGGAGTCAATTGAGGCCAAGGGTCCATTGATCGGTTCTTTGTCGGCTATTTGGTGACTCATTTTGTGGGCATGACGAAAAAGGACTGAGCCTGTTCGTTCTAAACCCACCATCGTGGAATCGGTGATATTCGGGCTCCCGTACGAGCACTACGAAAAGGGTGTAGTCGTTCCATTTATGCATTATTTATTTTCAGCGTTGTCAATTTGTTTAAGCTTTTTGATTGCTGAATTTTGTGTATTGATTGGTAATTTTCGGTTTTAGCCTGAAACGGTCAAATCGGGACTTGTTCGGGCTCGAAAGGTTGCTGTTCGGGGCCAACACGAAGTTATCCGGGTCCTATCGGGGCTGTCCGAGACCTGCTGGGAGCTGTCCGGGCCTGCTGGGAGTTGCCAGGACTAACCAGGGGCTGTTCGGGGCCAGCCCGGGCCCGGCGAGTCGAGCCAGACGACCACCCAACAGTGGTATCAGAGCCTGGCTCTTGCCAGGTCGTCTGCTCGCCGCTACTGGTAAGTCGAGTTCCTTTTCTTAGGGCTCGCTCAGGTAAATTAGCTTGAAGCCACCTTTTACTGCTTTCGTAGTTGTAGCCCCTGGTCGGGGATTGCTTGTTGGGAACGTGCTGGTAGAATCTAGGATCTTTGTGATTTTGTGTGATTTACCGCTTTGCTGGAGGTTCCAGCTGCATGCTTTTGTGATTTATCGCTTTTGTAGTATTATTCCGCTGTGCTTTATTCGCTCTGTGTAATTTGCCGTGTAGGATTGCTACTGTGCGTTTTGTATCTGTGTGATACTTTGGCTATTTGGCGTATTTTCTTGTGTATTTTGCTTTGTGTGATTTTTTGTGCAAAAACTTGTTTGTTTTTTAAAATGGGATCCGTTTCAGCGTTTAGCTTAGTCCCGTTTGATGGAAAATCTGATTTTGGTATTTGGCAGCAGAAAATGAAAGGTATTCTTGTGCAACAAAAAGTGTTTAAAGCAATTGACCTTTCTCATTCTGCGAATGTGTCGGCCGAGAAAAAGGCCGAAATTGATGAGTTTGCTTATTCTTCGATTATTTTGAACTTGTCCGACTCTGTGTTAAGAAAAGTTGGTAAATTGGACTCTGCTAAAGAACTTTGGGAAAAATTAGAGGAGCTATATACTGAAACTTCTTTGCCAAATAAGTTGTTCTTGCTTGAAAAATTTTTCCGGTTCAAACTTGATTTGTCCAAAGACATGGATGATAATTTGGATGTGTTTACCAAACTTGTTCAAGATATTAAGCAAACTGGTGATAAGCATATTGATGATTATACACCTATTGTGCTCTTGAATGCTATACCTGATTCTTACAGTGATGTGAAATCTGCTATTAAGTATGGTAGAGACAATGTGAATCTTGAAACTGTTGTGAATGGTTTGAAAAGCAAAGAGCTTGATTTGAAAACCAACAGGGGTGGTACGAATGTCACCGAGGTTAATTTTGTGAGAGGTAGACCTCAAAACCGTTTTCAAAATCAAAAACCTCAGAATAATCAAAGTTTTGGCAAAAAGAAAGGTAGGGGAAAAAGTCGGTCTAAGTCTAGACTGAAAAATCGTAAGTGCTATAATTGTGGTGAATCTGGTCATTACATGAATGAGTGCACTAAACCTAAGAAAATCCAGCATAATGATCGTGCAAATGTGGCATCTAGTAGTGAGAATCATGGTGATGTCTTTATGGTGACTGAAATGCATGCTAATGTGAATTCTGTGCATTCTCGTTCTCTTTGTGAAAATGAATGGCTTGTTGATTCTGCATGCACGTTTCATATGTCTCCTTTTAAGAATTTGTTCTCGAACTACAAAGATGTGAAGCATGGATCTGTTTCTATGGCTAATGAGAAATTGTGCGAAGTTGCTGGCCTTGGTGATATATGCTTACGTTTTGATTCTGGTTATGTGTTAACTTTGAAGAATGTGAGGCATGTGCCTGACTTGTGTCCAAATTTGATATCATGTGCTGCATTAGAAGATGATGGTTTAGAGGGTAAATGGGGAAATGGTGTAATGAAAATTTTGAAGGGTTCTTTGGTGATCTTCAAAGCTATGAAAAAGATAAACTTGTATGTTTGCTTTGCTGAATCTTGTATGCAAAACTCTGTGAATACTGTCTTTGATGACAAAACTGATTTGTGGCATAAACGTTTAGGTCACATGAGTTCTAAGGGTCTTGAGATTTTGCATAAAAGTGGCTGTTTTGGTGATGACAAATTGTCTTGTGTGTCATTTTGCGATTCATGTGTGCTTGGCAAACAATCAAGAGTGAGTTTCTCTGTTGCTCCTGTTGGAAAACTACGTGCTTCTTCTGAAATACCCGAGTATTTGCATGCTGATGTATGGGGTCCGACTAGTGAGTCGACTCATGGTGGAAATCGTTATTTCTTTTCTGTTATTGATGATTTTTCTCGGAAGGTTTGGGTGTTTTTATTGAAAAACAAATCTGATGTTTATGAGAAGTTTAGAAACTGGAAAACGTTGATTGAAAATCAAACTGGCAAGAAAATACGAGTTTTGAGGATCGATAATGGTCTTGAGTTTTGCAACCAATTGTTTGATGATTTATGTGCTAATTCTGGTATTCAAAGACATAGAACTGTGCCTTATACGCCTCAGCAGAATGGTGTCGCTGAGCGTATGAATAGAACATTGCTTGAAAGAGTTAGATGTATGCTTGCATGTTCTGGTCTTTCTAAGTGAGGCTGTGTTAACTGCGTGTTATTTGATTAATCGTTCTCCTTCTGTGCCTTTGAATGGTAAATGTCCAGAATTTGTGTGGTCCGGTACTCAAATTGATTTATCGAATTTGAAAGTGTTTGGTTGTTCTGCTTTTGTTCATCAGAAAAAGGATAAACTTGAACCAAGGTCTGTGAAATGTGTTTTCTTAGGCTATCTTGATGGGGTTAAGGGTTATCGTTTATGGTTAAGGGGGGCACCTGGCTTTAAAGTGTTGATTAGTCGGGATGTGATTTTCAATGAGTTTGAATTCTCTTGCTTATCTGCTCCTTTGCCTGTTTCTGAACCTGCTACTACTCCGAGTGAGGTGGAGTTTGTACCTGGTCCGAGTCCTTTGCCTTTGCCTGATATTGTGCAGGATGTGCCTGTTGAAAATCCTATGCCTGAAAATTTGTCTGATGAGCCTGATAATCATGTCGTTGATGCTAATGTGCATGAGGAAATTGTTGAAAATTTGCCTGAACCTGATCTTGGTGATTTGAATGATTATCATGTGGCTAGAGATAGATCTAGAAGAGATAGAAGACCGCCCCAACGTTTTGATGATTTTCATATGACTTCTCACGCTTTTAATGTGTTTAATTTGATTGATAATTGTGAACCTAAATCATATGAAGATGGTTTGAAATCTAAGAATTCTGTGCAATGGTTGAATGCTATGAATGAAGAGATGACTTCGTTGCATGTTAATAATACGTGGATTCTTGTGCCTAAACCTGCTAATTGTTCTATTGTGGATTGTAAGTGGTAGTTTAAGCTCAAGAATGGGAGTGATTCTGTTAGATTCAAAGCTAGGTTGGTGGCGAAGGGGTTTACACAAAAAGAAGAGATAGACTATACTGAGATATTTGCTCCTGTTGTGAAATTTACTACTGTTCGGATTATGCTTGCCCTAGTTGCTCAGTTTGATTGGGAGTTGAAACAACTTGATGTTAAAACTGCTTTTTTGCATGGTGAACTTGATGAGACCATTTATATGCGGCAACCTGATGGATTTGTTGATTCTAAGTGTCCTAATCATGTTTGTATGCTCAAAAAATCGTTATATGGTTTGAAGCAATCTCCTAGACAATGGAATAAGAAATTTGATGAATGCATGTTATCTTTGAATTTTATGAGAAGCAGTTATGATCACTGTTTATATTTCAAAGAAAATGCAAAAGTGCCTGTTTTCTTGCTTATCTATGTAGATGATATGCTCTTGGTGAGTCCTTGCTTGAAAACAATTGATCATGTCAAAGATTGCTTGAGTGCTAAATTTGATATGAAGTTTCTTGGAGATGCTAAACGAATTCTTGGCATGAACATTCATAGGGATAGAAAGAGTTCTACTATTATGTTGAACCAGGACACTTATGTGCATAAAATCTTGAGTAAGTTTTCTATGGTGAATGCTAAGCCTGTTAATGTGCCGTTAGCTGGTCATTTTGTTCTAAGTAAAGAGCAGTGTCCCAAAATTGAATATGATGTGAAATGCATGAAGAATGTGCCATACTCGAATGCTATTGGTTCTGTCATGTATTTAATGGTTAGCACGAGGCCCGATATTGCATATTCCGTAAGTTGTTTGAGTAGATATATGTCTAATCCTGGTGTTTATCATTGGCAAGCCATGAAGTGGCTTTTGAGGTATTTGATTGGTTCTGTTAATCATGGTTTGAAATTTTCTAAGCATGATCAAGGTGTTAATTTGGTTGGCTATGTGGATTCCAATTATGCTAATGATAGGGATAATAGAAAATCTACAACTTCTTATGTGTTTACTTTGTGTGGTGCTTTTATTAGTTAGAAATCACAATTACAACACATTGTTGCACTTTCGACCACTGAGTCTGAGTATGTTGCTGTGACTGAAGCCTTGAAAGAGGCTATTTGGCTTAAGGGTCTATTATCTGAAATTGGTTTTCTTGACAAGAAAGTTGTAGTATTTTCTGATAGTCAGTCTGGGATTCAATTGTGTAAAAATCCCGTTTTTCATGATCATACTAAGCATATAGATTTTCGGTTTCATTTTATACGTGATATAGTGGCTAAAGGCTTGGTTAATCTTGAAAAAATTGCTTCTGAATTTAATCCGGCTGATATGGGAACTAAGTGTTTGCCTGTTGAGAAGTTTAGATCATGCTTGAATATTTTGAACTTTGATACGTGTGATTAATGTGCTATTATGTGAACATTGTGTGAGGTAGCCGACTTTGAGTCTGCTACATATTTGCTCTAACTTTGTGTTTGAGTGCAGGTACGGTAAGGTAAGGCGATGATGACCCCTGTCAACCCGAGTCTTGTGAACCGACTTTGGGCCAAGGTGGAGAATGTTGGTATTGTGGCCCAAATGAGATGTTTTATTGATGGCCCAATATTCAAACATTTCTCTGGCCCAATTTCTTTGGCCTGAGCCCAGTAAGGCATCCCACATGATCCAAGCAATCTTGACCGTTCACTTTTCTTTTGTTTTAGTTACCTGTTACCTAAATTATTCTCCTAACATTAGCAGCCATTAGAAGAACCCTAAGAGTCTCTACACGCAGCCATCTTGTTAGCAGCCTTGAGATTATTCAGGAAATTCGAATTAGTTCAAATTAGTGCAAATAGGATCGGGAATTTTGAAATGCTGCATACTCATGGGCTTCTTAAGGTGGCTATTTATTCTCCTAATGCCTGCACTCTCAACACTTTTAAATCCAATCTAGCCATATGATGATCTTTTGTTTTTCCAGGAATGTCTAACAAAGTCCCCAGCACACTATCAATAATATTTTTCTCTATATGCATAGGATCTAAATGATGTCGAGATAAGACATCCTCTCAATACGGCAAACTGAAGAAACGTGACTTCTTTCTCCATGGACAATTTTCAGTTTTCATTTTCGGTTGCATTTTTCCAAATTTATTTTCGAAATTCTCCAATAAAGATAAGATTTCACCACCTGTTAAGGGCGTGATTGTATATGAATTGTACAGTAAATATCTCAATCAAAACTCAAATTTAACTCTATTTTAACTCAACTCCACTATCTCTAATATTATCAATATAATTAAATAATATCAACCAATCATTATTACACATCACATCAACTTTAATTCACTATTCATCCACTCACATAATTTTAACTAACCATCACTTCCAATTATTTTCTCCTACTTTTATATCAAATCAACTTTAATTATTTTAATTTAAATATTGTTTTAATATATTCACTAACAACTAACTATACTACTTTTTTTTAAATTTAACTATAGTTAAAAAATAACCAATTTTTTACTAGTTGAATTCATATCCAATCACCCTCTAAAGGATTTGGAGCAACCCTTTTCTCTATCTTTCCATTAAAAGATTTTCTATCATTGCGCCAACGATGATCTGCAGCCAAAAATCTACGATGCCCCATGTAGCAAGATTTTTTTCTATTTTTCAAGTATAAGTGATCTGTTTCATAGTGACAATAAGGACATGCATACTTTCCCTTCGTGCTCCAATCAGACAACATGGCATATCCAGGGAAACCACTTGTTGTCGACTGTAAAGCAGCATGCATCTGAAATACTTGGCGCTTTGATACATCATATGTCCTATACCAAACTCCCACAATTCTTTTAACTCTTCCACTAACGGTTGAAGGTAAACATCAATGTCATTACCTGGAGAATGTGACCCTGGAATAATTAAGGATAACATAAGATACTCTGACTTCGTAAATAACCAAGGCGGTAGATTGTAGACAATTAAAACAACTGGCCATGTACTATGCGAAGTGCTCATAGTTCGAAAAGGGTTAAATCCATCACTTGCTAGTCCTAACCTCACATTCTGAGTTTCTTGAGCAAAGTGTGGATATAAGGAATCGAAATCTCTCCAAGCCTTGCCATCTGCTGGATGTCTCCCATCCTTTATCTTTTTCTCCTCATGCCATCTCATATACTTAGTTGTTTCAGAACACATAAACAACCTCTGAAGCCTAGATTTCAAAGGAAAGTGCCAAACTACTTTGGCTGGAATGTTTCGAGTGTTTTCAGGTGGATGATTTTTACTGTCTCTAAACTCCATTTCAATTTCCTTCCACCTCGAAGCATGGCAAACATGACAAGATGTGTCACTTTCATACTGTTGACATCAAATTTTGGCCTCGCCTATTAAAATATTACACGTGGATATATGTATTAAACAAATATAAATATAGCAGGTTCTCTGAGCTGATTATTTAATATCGACCGAGTTCCCAAGTGCCCAGATCATCCGTACTCGAGCTGGGTAGAATTGATATCATCAGCCCGACCAGGATATCGAGAAGATTCGAGTCCGACATACACAATAATTGCCGATAAAGTAGACGTCATTCGAAGCCGTCAAGTGTCACGATTGGGCCCCACAATGTCATATCGCATTCAATACTATTATCCCCTTTATCTTTATTTAATAGGCCCACTTGGCCCACTTGTGTAAAAGAGTGAGAGATATAGATAGGGTCGTGGGAGATGAGGGGAGAGGAGGCATGATTGGATCTACAACATACAAACCAAAAAACCAAGAAAAATGGGTAGATCTTCATCTCCCAAAAATCAATAAAATTGCATATTAATCAAACACCGATTATTCACAGAATAGGGGTGTAATTTTCGTTGATACAAATCCGTTTATCAACATTTTGACGCTAGAAGAAGGGCCCCGTAATTTACTCGGGGTGAATTTTCACCGAAAAACGACACTGGAAAATGGTCGCATCTTCTCCTAAGAAGAAACATCTCCAAGCTCGGTGATGTTATTCTTACTTTCACTCTTATTTTCTTCCGTACCCATAATCCTAGTTTGGATGAATATTCTTATACATCATATAAATATAGATTGCAGATCCCATCTGGAAAGATGAGATGATAAAAATAATTAAAAAAAAAAAAAGAGGAAGGAAGAGGAGATGAAGATTTTTTTGTTGAGAGATGTTCTGCTACACTAACCAAGATATGGAGAGAGAAAAGTTGATTTCTTCTCTTCTTTTACATTTGAGTGTAGAAGGTGTTTGAAGAACCAAGTTTTCTACTGCTAAGGTGTTAATCTTCAAAAACAAAAACCAATAAAAAAAAAAAGGCGAGTTCTCTATTGCCTTAAAATCGAAGCAGACGCCGGAATCGACCTCGCCCTGCCCGGGCTTCTCAGTCACAGAGATCCGACCTTCAAAACTGGAGGCATTAGTTTGTACCGTCTTAGAGTCGATCTCCCACGTCGGACAACCTCTCCCTTTCCAAACCGATTCATTCATCGGGGCCCTACCAGGCTGACCGCCGACCTCGAAACCCGACGTCGGTCGCTAAAGCCAAAATTTTTCACCGTTGGGCCGACCTCCGACTTCCTACCTCAGTCGACGGGTCTCGATCACACCTTCATCACCAGCTTCAGCCAATCAGTGCTCGATTTCACTACAATCAGCCCCGAAAAGTGAAATCGAGGCTTACCTCGGCTGGACACGTCCCCGGCCGACCTCACCATAAATTGACGGGCCCGACCTCATCATACTCCGGTTGACCTCGGATCTCGGACAGGCCTCCGAAGCAATTGACTTCACCTCAAAACGCAGGGGCCGACCTCGCCGCCTCCGACAGAAAAGAACTGAGCATGATTCCATAAACTACCGAAATTGCCCAACTCAAGTTTGTCGCCGACTTCCGAAATTGACCAAGTCGGCACCTCAGGTCGACATCCTTATCTCCGACCTCAATGGTCGAGGTCGACCTGCAACCAATCTCCGACTTCCAATTCGGTGATCTTACCTCCAAGCTCGACCGAATTCTCAATTTACCAACTGCCGAGCTAAAACGGAGCCTGGATTCACAGCTGGGGCCCGACCTCGCGATCGATAACCCATAAATCGCAGCCCGGGCCGACTTCACCACTGCTCTGAGCCCGACGCAAATCCGACCAATTTCAACCTTTAAAATCGACTGACCTCGTCATCTCCAGATCGGCTCCAACCTCGCCGACCGACCTCAGTCGTGGGAACCCGACTTCACCTTTCCCAATTTCACTAATCGTTTCACAACCAAGGTCAATCTCACCTTTCCCGATCTCAACTCGCGATCACCGAGCTGCCCACCGGGACCGAGCTTGTCGTCTCCAAACCGACTTCGGCAAGAGTCGAATCGACCTCGTAGCTGAAATCCGACTTCTTCACAAACCGAAGTCTGACCTTTCTCTACCCCCCGACGAACTCCAAAATCACCGATTGCGGAGCTGCGATCTCCCGCATGGGAAGACCCTCAAATTTCGCCGCCTCTGCATGACAGAAGTCGGACCTCTTCTCCCCGCAGCCGCTAGGTTGCGCGTCAATGATATTAATTCGAGCGTAAATATGATTTCTTTTCTCTTGCTATGCGGGTATTAGATTGAAATTTGGGCCTATTCATACCAACAAAAAAAAAAAAATTGACCCATTGATTTACTAAACATGGGCTTGTAAAATTATTTAGATATTGTAAAGATATTTGGCCCAAAAACACTTTGTAATAGATAAAATTAGGCTTTAGAGCGCTGAGACTGAGAAGTAATCGAAAGCTTGAAGTCAAGAATCTCAGTGGAAACTTGAAGAAGGGAGACAGAAAAAGAGCCGACCTCTCCGGACGATAATATACTTAGGCCTACACCTCGCACCTGCCCAAGGTAATCCAACTGTCAATTTCATTATAAATACCTACATATATATGTATATATATACATCAAAAATAAAAATATATACGTATATATATGCATATCAAAATCTGCAAAAAACAGCCTTCATGCCAACGAGACGGCTATTGCACCGCATTCTGCGAAAATGGTCGCTCATGCCAACAAGTCGGTCACCACGCCACGTTTCGCAAAAACAACCATGTCTGGGCCAACCACTCCGTCGTTCGATTCGATCCTCCGGGCCGACATCAAACCACCGACCTCGTAATTGACGGGCCAACTCATTGGCTGACCTTACAACGGTTGATCACCAAATCGCTTGATGGATGACCAACCTCAAAGATTACCAAGCCACACGATCACAGTCGAGCCCGAAATTGAAACCTAATCATGGACGACCTAACTAATCACCACCACAAATCGCCCGACTTCATCGCCCGATCGACCTCAACATTTGTTCGACCACTCAAGATGGGGATGACTTCACAATCGAGCCCAGACTTCCAACCGGGGCCCAACCTCGCGGCTAGAGAAGCAGAATCCAAGCTCCTAAATCACCCTGTCAACTGGAGCATCCAAATCAACGCGCTGGCACCCTTATCCGGCCATTTCCTGAGCCACTTGACAGACTTCTTCCCAGGCCAATTTATTATTCTCCTATCGACGAGTCTCGTTTCATTCACTTCGGCCTGGTTGATCATTTGCTTGCCGATGTGACCAGCTCTTCTTAATCGAGTTATTACCCGTCCGCAGACAAGCCCGATTCCACTGGACCGGTTCACTATTCGCTCACCTCCGACCTCACTTACCTACGCCGGGACTGGAATTACTTATCAATGACGGGACCGAGATCATTTCAATGCCAGAGCCGAAGTCACTTATCTATGCTGGGAGCTAGAACGACTTATTCATTCACGCCGTGACCGGTCATCTATTTACGACGTCTATATCTTCTCGCCGTAGAGCTTCGACTCCGGTTGAGCGACATCTATATTTTCTCACCGTAGAGCTTCGACTCCGGTTGAGCCGACGTCTATATTTTCTCGCCGTTGAGTTCGACTCCGGCTAAGCGACGTCCATATTTTCTCGCCGTTGAACCCGACTCCGGCTAGGTCGGCATCCATATTTCCTCGTCGTGGAGCCTTTGCTCTGACTGAGCTGACGTCTATATTTCCTTGCCGTGGAGCTTCCGCTCTGGCTGAGTTGACATGCCCAATTCTTACACCAAATCCTAAAGTTGATTTGGTATGACAAATACCCATTACACCAAATCCTAAAGTTGATTTGGTACGACAAATACCCATTACACCAAATCCTAAAGTTGATTTGGTACGACAAATGCCCATTATACCAAATCCTGAAGTTGATTTGGTATGGCAAATACCCATTACACCAAATCCTGAAGTTGATTTGGTACGGCCAATATCCCGATAAGGCAGTCGAGGTGACATCATTTACCGCACTCATCATATATTTACACATTCATACATACGTTCATCACATAACGTGCATCATACTTGTATCTTGACATCAACAAACAAGTCAAACACTTAAAAGTGAATGGTTCGGCCCAAAGTGCCTCAAAGTCGGTTAAAAAACTGACGTTCTTCTAAAAAGGCCCAAAGTGCCTTAAGTCGGTTAAAATACTGACGTTCTTAAAAAGAAGGCCCAAAGTGCCTTAAGTCGGTTAAAAAACTGACGTTCTTCAAAAAAAGGCCCAAAGTGCCTCAAAGTCGATTTAAAAAACTGACGTTCTTAAAAAGAAGGCCCAAAGTGCCTTAAGTCCGTTAAAGAACTGAAGTTCCGAAATTTGACTCTTTCAACGAGCATTATACCAAATACCGGGTATCAAATTACCCGACTAGGCCTCTCAAGCCCCCATTCTATATTAATTTTAAAAAATTGTCCATTTCGCCGACTTAGCTCATCAAAGAGCATAAAGCGCGAATGACATGCCAAACGTCAGGCCAAAGCCTGAAAACGATCCACAAAACGTCCACAGTCCCAAAATACCTGGCCAACATCCATGTGTCATTTATCGCAGCCACAATTCATTTTACGTATGACTTCAGAACAGTTCTATTCAGAACATGTCCTAAAGTCAGGGGCCTCTATGTTGACATCAAATTTTGGCCTCGCCTATTAAAATATTACACGTGGATATATGTATTAAACAAATATAAATATAGCAGGTTCTCTGAGCTGATTATTTAATATGGACCGAGTTCCCAAGTGCCCAGATCATCCGTACTCGAGCTGGGTAGAATTGATATCATCAGCCCGACCAGGATATCGAGAAGATTCGAGTCCGACAGACACAATAATTGCCGATAAAGTAGACGTCATTCGAAGCCGTCAAGTGTCACGATCGGGCCCCACAATGTCATATCGCATTCAATACTATTATCTCTTTTATCTTTATTTAATAGGCCCACTTGGCCCACTTGTGTAAAAGAGTGAGAGATATAGATAGGGTCGTGGGAGATGAGGGGAGAGGAGGCATGATTGGATCTACAACATACAAACCAAAAAACCAAGAAAAATGGGTAGATCTTCATCTCCCAAAAATCAATAAAACTGCATATTAATCAAACACCGATTATTCACAGAATAGGGGTGTAATTTTCGTTGATACAAATCCGTTTATCAACACATACTCTTTCCAGAACAACATACAACCATTACGACATGCATCGATTTTTTGATAATGAAGACCCAAGTCCTTCACCAACTTCTTGGCTTCATTAAAAGACTTAGGCAATTTGACTTCGGGAATTTGTTCTCGAATAATTTCGAGAAGATCAGAAAATGCCATATTAGTTAGCCCATGAACACACTTGAAAAGGAATAAACGGATGAGAAATGATAATTTTGAAAAGGATTTACACCTAGGATACACAGTTTGTTTGCCGTTTTCAAGCAATTTAAAGAACTTCTTGGCCTCTAGATTAGCATTATCGTCTTCAATCTCTTCCTGGTTTTCTCCCAAAAACTTATCTACTATATCCCTGTGAGTATCAAATAACAAATTTTCCATGTCATCCGACATACCCTTTTCATGATTATGATCATTCTTCTGTTTATTTAACATAGATGAAATGTCTTTCTCATTTAGATGCCATTCAGTCATTTCTGAATTGACTCCATTAGCAATCAGATGATTACAGACTTCATCTCTACGATGCCAAAAACGATGATAGCACTCTTTGCACGGGCAACTAATCTGATCTCCTTGGGCCTGAGTAGAAATGCATAATCTAAATAAGATTCTACTCCTTCAGCATACTCATTACTAGATCGTAATAAATTGAACCACAAACTCCCACTATTCTTCATTATCCAACCTGATGAAAAGTAAACCACATCAACAAGTTATTTTTTAACATGAGAAATCTTTAAAAAACAATTCACTCTGTTAGAATGAGAAAATGAACAATACTTCCTAAATAGAATAAAGGAGTCTTTCACATATAATTTTTTACAGCTAATGTTAAATACGAATTGGTGAATCAAGTATGTAGGGCTCGAAGTACCAAAATCTTTCTCCAAACATAACAGACAAGTTTGTTTTACAAAATCTCTAGAGAGAAATAAAGAGAGAAAATGAAAAGATAATTATTCCTAAATAGTGATGATTCTGAGCAGACAAACAAAAAAAAGATGATCGAGCAATAATTGAAAAATCTTTGAATACCTGGCCCCAAAATGATAATAGGAGTAGATACAAGGGTAGATGGAGTAGAGGATTCTTGCAAAGCTTGTGGATAGTAGATACAAGACCTTGAATCCCTAGATGGTGAAAAACTACTACAGATAATTTTATCAAGAAACAGAGGGATTTGAGAAGCTTATACGTCTTGTTTCTATTGAATAATGAATAAAAAATTTAACAAGAATAATGAACAAATAATTATAATTATGTATTGAAAAAAAGTTGTGACTATTAAGAATGTTATGTAAAAATGGTTAGTTAAAATATTATATTTGTATTTGTTACAAATAATAAATAGGAAAAAAAAATGATTCCTTTTGTTCTAATATGTGTTTTAAATAATAAGTACTAAAATACTATTACCTATTATGTGTTATACATAATAACCACTTATTTAATGTTACCTAAAATATATTACATAATTTAAAGTGTTTTATCAAACTGTTACATATTAATAAAATGTCACCTAAAATCTAATGTTTTTATAAGTGTTACAATAATGTGATATATAATATAATTATTCAAAAAATGTTACAAATTCGTGTTACCTAATATCATTTTTGTTGTAGTGGTCAAACTTTTAGATCCGCTGCGTATATGTTTACGTTTGCTATTGAATTCGTGATTTGTACATAACAAGATCCTCACAGATCCCAACAAGTGGTATCACTAGAGATGTTAAATGGTCATTGGCAAGATGGGCCAGCCCGTTTAGCTCAGAAAAAAACAGGGTTAGGGCCTTTTATTGCCAGCCCGTTTAAATTCGGGCTTTTTAAGCCCGAACCGTTTAGCCCGAAGCCCGTTAGGGCTAGCCCGAAAACCGCTAGGGCTAGCCCATTTAACTTGGGCTGGGTGGTGTATATGTTTTTAGAAAGATAAGTAATATGTCTCATCCTTGTATATTACAATTTTGCTATTTTACTTCACATGTAATTATGAGTTATAATGTATTATTATTATTTTGATAGATAATTATTAACAAATTTCATTCTATTTCACAGCAAAATATTTAAGCCAATCAAAACAGCTAACAAAAATCTAACACATAGAATATAGTGATAGAATATAAATTCAGCAGTATGCTATATTGTGAAAATTCCCAAAACATACCAAATAACTAGTCAAATAGTTATAAGTAATAGTTCGAACATTTTTTTTTTCTATTGAGAAACAATATGTTATTTAAGAGTTTGTAATGTGTGTTCATATATGAAGTGTAGTTGTATATATATAGTGGTAAATACTAAATAACCGTTAAAAAAAACCGTTAACTAGGTTTAGGGTTAGGTCCTTTTTTTAGTAGCCCGTTTAAATCTGGGCTTTTTAGGCCCGGACCGTTTAGCCCGAAGCCGGCTAGGGCTAGCCCGAAACCGCTAGGGCTAGCCTGTTTAACATCTCTAGGTATCACGTCATCGCACGATCACCAATAGAACCGGCTCTGATACCAAGACAGAAACTAGAGGAAAATGGGTGCGGGCCTACTATCATGAATCTCACCATGGGAAAACGAGAAAAGCCCATATGAAGCCCAATGGGGTTCCATCCAAAAACAATTTGTGGAAGGAGGAGTAGCCTATTAGTCTTATAAGGTTGGTCTATTTTCCATGTATGAACGATGTGAGACAACTCACAAGTGATATTCTAACATTAAAAAATCAATGTATGGTTATTGCTAAACTAAATTTATACTTATTATTTTTTGAGAAATTCGCATAAATAACAGCCCACTAATAGTGCGCTATGTCGATATATCATTAAACTTTGTTCATTATAGTCTTAATTACAAATATTGTAAAATGTTGTTTGACATGTTATGTAATTTTTTTAAATGAAAATTCGCCTTTGTTAACCCTAAAAACCCTAACTTCCTATATATTCAATAAGGTACAACTAAACTCACAAAATCAAATTAATTGGTGGGAATTAAATGGTAGGGTACTAGTACTATATATTTAGTTATCTCACTCGGGAGAATAATTTATTTTCATTTTATTTCTTGTATGCATGCACAACACAATATCTCATTTTACCGTAGCTAGCTCCATGCAATACTCCTTATCCCTCGGTCTTCATTTATTCTAGCAACATAAAACCAAAAAAAAAATAAAAAGAAAGAGAGAAAAAAAGTTCCTAGATTATGATTCAAACATGAATGCACCGGAAACTTATAATTAAGTTTTAGTCGTCGCACTTTAATATGATCGAAAGTACATCATCCCACATTTTCTTAGCCACTTGTTCGTTCGCCTTTTCAGTGTAATGGTAAGAGTCCCAAAACAAGTAATTTCCGGGTTTCGAACACACTTCAAACTCAGTACTCAGAGGTTTCCTTTGTCCCCCACAATTGTTAACACCTCGGAAAGGGCCCGACCCACAACACGCGTCTTTCACGTCATTCAAACCTTCGTTTATATAAACCGTACACATCGTCAAAATTTATTTTGCTCTAATATGCCAAAATACAAGTTAAAATTAAAAATCATATGCATTTTCATACAATATTCTTTATCAAGAAATAATATCCACCCTATCACATGCATGGTTATGAGTTATGACAAGCTATTAATCATTATCATTATCGTTCAATATGTTATTATTTATATATATCACACTAGCTTTGATCATTAATTAAAATTTTCTTATTCAGCGCATGTTTGGATACATATTGTTCAAAAAAATTCAATCATTTTCAACCAATCATTTTTTTTTTACCTAAAATCTAACTCAACTTCAATTCAACTCCATTATCTTCATGTTACCAATATAATTAAATAGTACTACTTAATCATTCGTACACATTCCATCAACTTTAATTTACTATTCATCAAATTATTTTTTTTTTCTTTTTCATAAACAACTTTTCCACCTCTATTTTCATACGAAATAAAAATTTCAAAAAAGTAAATGGAAATATCAAAAAAAACTCATCAATTTTGCAAGAGTTTGTACACATATAATTAGTACGTACCATATTTGCGTGGTTGAGCAATCATGTTTGAAATATCACTTTGGAAGTCATATACAAGCAATTTGAGTTTGGGCAAATTTGTAAGGTTTTGTATTAGCTTCGTCTCCAAAGCGGTGTTGTGTAGTTTAGCCAATTCCAAGGGCTCTGTCATGCACTTGTTCTCGTATTTGTGTACATTCTTGATGATTTTCATCCCTGGCAAACAGCCCAATGGTCCCATATTCATAAGCACAATATTTCTCCCTCCTTTTTTATATATTGTCTGCATATATGTAATATATATTGTTCAATTTAATTAGAGAGTTTTCTCAAAAATAAAAATAATCAAATTCCAACGATCATATATTCAAAAAAAAAAAAATTGTTGGAATATTTTTCATTTGATATTATATATGTTATAAAAATTTCATATTTTTTGTAGTGTATAGGTACAAACATCGCACAACTATCTAGTTTTTATATGATATAGGCTTTATTATATTATTTCAATTAAAAAAATAAAAAAAGGAAGATGTTGAAAACAGGTTCTCAGCTAAATGTCAAACACCTCAATGGTCCCATACAATGCCATGCAGGATGAGGAGCTGGAATTTATTTAACCTTTTACCTTGTCCTTTTTACTTGCTTTATATTTTGTCTTGTTGTCTTATGTGTCCATTATCTAGACTCTTCCTAGGGTTTATAGTATCAGCTATTTATAGTTGCCTCTGTATCTTTTAATGATTGATTCTTGCTCAATGAAAAACATGCGCAGCATCTCCATCAATCATCTTTAATGAATGTGACCAAATCTCAACATGGTATCAAAGCCCCAGGATAGCACTGGGGTCTGATTTTCTCTTTTCCTTTCTTTCCCTTTTAATCCTCTTGTCTTCTTCTTCGAAAAATGGTTGCATCTCATCCCAGTACAAACACATTATCTCCTCAATCCTCCATCATCCAACCTCAGAGCCAACTCATCACTGTCAAACTTTCAGAAAGCAATTACCTCGTCTGGAAGCAACAAATTTTTGGCAGCAATATGTAGCTATGGCCTTGAATCTTTCATTGACAACTCAACAAGGGTTCCTGAGCAGTTTATTGTTTCAGATTCATGAGAATCAATGATCAATCCTCTCTTTACCAGTTGGAGAAGACAAGATCAACTCTTGTTCTCTTGGATTTTATCATCCTTGAGTGAATCCCTCCTTGTGACTACTGTTGGGTTCACCACCTCAAGAAAGCTATGGGAAGCTTTAGGAGTCAACTTTGCATCCCAATCTAGGGCTAAAATTATGCAATATAGACTTCAGTTCCAAACTCTCAAGAAAGGGGACATGCCTATGAGGGAGTTTCTCAACAAAATCAAAGGATGTTGTGACATGCTTTCGGCTGCTGGACAAAGGGTCAGTGAAGAAGAACAAATCTCCAACAGCCTCACAGGTTTAGGGAGTGATTATAATTCAGTAATGGTCACAGTGAATGCAAGATTCGAGTCATACAGCCTTAGAGAAGTGCATGCATTATTGTTGAGCTTTGAAAGCAGATTGGAAGGATTAGACTTGAACTACTCTTCCAGCCTTGAGCCTTCTATGCCAAATGTCAATGTTTTGACACATGGAGGTGATTAGTTGGAAAAAGTGTATATTTTATATATTTGTTAGCGTATTTTTATATGCTTAATTTTATCGCACTTATATGTTTTTCGACCTATTTATTATTTAGATGGATTTATTTGCTTTGATATTTTTATGGTTTATTTTAAGGATATTTGAGTATTTTTACGGGCGACGTGGTATCAAACGAGAATCGACTACATCAGTACAAGGTTGCTTCATGACCGGTCAAAACAAGGCCACAAGTTAAATAAAAAGTCCAAATTAGATTTGAAGGCCCACATAAACAAGGATTCACACAGGACTCAACAAAAGCAAACAGACACTTCATGCAAGAATTTATCATGCATGGATATAACATGTGGACCACGTTAGTCCATGTTTTCCTACCGTTAGATTAGAATTATTTAGAGAAGAATCCATCATTCATTCTAGATATAAATATATGTTACAGGAGTTGATTTTCTAGGTTTTACAATTTCCAAGAAACATTCTGTAGCCGTCATGTACCTTTATTGAAAATGAATAGAAAAATGTTGCATGAAATCTGTAAAGCTTCTTTGATGTTTATGCTTGATTTTTTTTTTCATGGTATCAGAGCAGGATATTCCTGTCTCTGACCATCCCTTTTTCATCTTTTTCTTCTTGTTTTCTTCAGCATTTTCATTATGAGTCAGCAAGACCATTCATCAAGGAGTGGTTCATCCATTATCATGTCGACAACGGCTCAAGGTTCTCTAATTCAATTAACAAAACTGGATGAAACCAACTACTGGATATGGAAACAACAAGCTATCACAGCCATAACAGGATATGGTGTAGAGGGGTACCTCAATTGAGACACAAAGAAACTAGAAAAACTCATTACAAATGAAAACTCAAGTGAGCTCATTGTTAACCCCGAGTATACCCCATGGGTGAGGCAAGATCAGCTCTTAGCCTCATGGTTGCTATCCTCTCTAAGTGAAGGAATACTTGTTATGATGGTTGGTTTAAACTCCGCTCAGGAAATCTAAGAAACCATAGAAAACAACTTTGCTAATCAGTCTTCATCAAGAATTATGCAATATAAGCTAAAATTGCAAACTTTAAAGAAATTGGTCTTTCAATGAGGGAATATCTAAGAAAGATAAAAAAATCACTGTTATATCTTGGCTATAGCAGGTGAAAGAGTGTCAGAACAAAACCAAATCCTTCATGTCTTGACAGGACTATGATCTGAGTATGATTCAGTTATTGTGAATGTGACCTCTAGGTTTCCACCTCTTAATCTAGCTGAAGTTCATGCTCTACTGCTCACTTATGAATCAATATTAGAGATGAACCAAAGCAGCATAATCAACAATGAAGGATCACAGCCTTATGCTAATGTGGTAGCACAGAACACACAAAGAGGCTACACTCAAAACTTCAACCATAATTTCAATCAGAATAGAGGTGGAAGATTTTCAAATCAGGGAAATAGAGGAGGTAGAGCAAATAGAGGAAGAGGCCGAGGAAGGAATCAACAAATAGGCCTCAATGTCAAATATTCCATGGGATGAATCACACAGCTGACAAATGTTGGTATAGATATGACAATAGCATAAATAACCAACCTGCTGCTCAATCTCAACAAGGGCCAAGAAGGAACTTTACACCTAGCTTAAACATGGTGCAAATGCATTGGCAAAAACACCTACTCAGATGTAGGATCTGAAACAAGATGGTTCCCTGACACAGGAGCATCAAATCATGTGACAAATCAGCTAGAGAATTTGAGTTTAGCATCTGAGTACACTGGAAACAACAAGCTGTTGATGGGAAGTAGAGAGGGGACTTCCATTTCACACTATGGTAATTCCTTTATTCAGACTCATGATCAGTCAAATATATTTTCCCTCAGTAATTTATTGCATGTGCCAAGCATCAGTAGAAACTTAATCAGTGTGTCACAATTTGCAAGGGATAACAAAGTGTTCTTTGAGTTTCATCCACTTTTCTGTCTTGTTAAGGATCAGGTAACACAAGAGGTCCTTCTCGGGGGAACACTTAAGGATGGATTATACCATCTCAGTATGCAGTGCATCGAGAGAACAACTTCACCTCAACCTCCTCTTCAATCAAATGAAGCCATTTCACAAGACTTTAATTTACAGCCTTTCTCTTATTTTTTGAAATCAGGCAAATGTTTAAGCCTGGATTTTTGGCACCAAAGACTTGGTCACACTAATTATGACAATGTGAAAAGAGAATTAAAGGCATGTAATTTGGATTATCAAGCAAATGACAAATCAGATTTATGTGGTTCTTGTATTTTGGCTAAAAGTCACTCATTGCCCTTTGATGATTCTGATACAGTTTATTCTAATGCTTTTGAATTGATTCATACTAATGTCTGAGGCCATGCCATGTTAAAACCATAGGAGGCTATGCTTATTATGTCAGTTTTATTGATCACTATTCCAAATTCTCATGTATATATCTCTTGAAAGCTAAATCTGATGTTTATGCTGTCTTTACGAGTTTTAAGTCTTTAGTTGAAAATCACTTTGGTAAGAGGATTAAAGTTGTGCAGAGTGATGGGGGAGGTGAGTTTCAATCTCTTGCAAGGATATGTTAAGAAAGTGGAATACTTCACAGAATCTCATGTGTCTACACACCCCAGCAAAATGGTTTGGCAAAAAGAAAGCACAAAGATATTGTTAATATGGGATTGTCTCTTCTTGCACAATCACATTTGCCCTTGTGTTGTTGGGGAGATGCATACATCACAGCTACTTACCTTATAAACAGGATACCATGCAAACCCTTGGATTTCAAAATCCCTCTTGAAGTCTTATATGGTCACAAGCCAGATTATAAAGGGTTAAGGGTATTTGGATGCTTGTGCTATCATTACCTTAGACTTTACAACAAACATAAAATGGAGTTCAGGTCATCTGCAGGTGTTTTTCTTAGATATAGCAATCAGTACAAGGGCTATAAAGTGTTTCTACCAAACAAGAGAATCATCATCAGCAGGAATGTTCTCTTCAATGAATCAATTTTTCCTTATGAAAAAGGGAACTTTCAAGAAGACAATTCAAACATTGCAAGGGGGCAAATTTACCAAGCATACCTTTGATAAATGTTGATCATACCAACAACAGAAAGACTGTTGGAGTATACTGTAAAGCAAACTTTTATGTGAGATTTTAGATTGTATTTATTCGATTTTCCATTTGACTGAAATAAATGTTTTCACATTGTTGCTTTCGCTTTGATTGCTTGTACGCTAAATGTCCAATTATCTTATATTGTAGACAATGTGGTGTGTTAGTAGTCACACAGAAGATTACATTGTCGGTCCCTTATAAGATATAAATGGTATTCACAACTGAGATAGTTATGGACATGACTATTGGTGTAGGTTGTAGTATAAACTGGATGTAGCTTGTCTTGGCTATTGATTTATACTAGTGCGCTGCGTCGCATTGAATGGATCACAGTTGAGACGCGTTCTTCTGTTCTGACTGCCATGAAGAACCAAGGTCTCGGTGACTCTACTAATTCTTAACCCTAACTGTGATACTTAGATATGTGGGATATTTCTTTGTTACTTTAATTTACCATGGGTGAGAACCAAGCATTGGTTCAATATGCTCCGTATCTTGGGTGACAACATTATCTGCATGATATCTATTTATTGGCATTAGGGAACCGTGTCCTGGACATCCAGGTTGATGACGTCCCCTTAAGGAACTCATAAGGATTATCGTATTATACCCTGCAGGTGGATTTTAATCCGTACGATAATAAGGTTGAGTGGTACTACTTAAGGAATAAAAGATATATATTAATTAAAGCAGTCAGAAGCTTTAATAATTAATGGACGTGCGATATCTTAAACACGGGGAATTGTATCGAGTCTAATAGAAGCCCTGATTCATTTAGGGATAGGACGGGAATGCAATATTAATTCTCTAGTGGAATGAATTAATGTTTACGGGACAAATTGTGTTCTGGGCTGAACATAAGAATTTGGGCCCGTAGGAAGCCCAAAACCTATACCTTCTAAGAGATCCCTAGTCTGGCCCAAGGACCTCTATAAAAGGAGGGATTGCTACGTTCTTGAACCCTAAGAGAACATCACGTCTTCAGCCACCACAAAAACATGAGGGGTTCAAGTGAAGAACAAGACGCAATCAGCTCTTTTCAACCATTTGGTAGATCGTCGTCCATCCGGTGTCCAAACGTGGCCGGGACACAGACTAGAAGATCGCTCAGATCGAATCAAAGCCTCGAAGAAAGGTAAACTCTCTGTTCGTCCTTTAGGAGCATGCCTAGGGTTATTCGAAATCATGTATGTACATGTTTGGTATCCGATATTGATCCGTGGGACGAACCGCCTTGTCGGCGTGTTCCAGCAAAGACCTCTCAGAAGGAAGGGCATACTTCAGCTACCCAATCTGAACCAAACAATATAGGCACTCCAATGTCCCTGCAAGGCTCACAAAGGTCCAGACAAACCAATTCCAAAGGCAGAAGTAACTCCAATTCACAAAACATGCATGATTCAATGAGCCGTCATTCCACACCTCTAGTGGTCAATTTACCCATTGAGAACTATGAAGATGAGGGAAACTCAAGTCAGAATCATAATCCAAGGCACCACATAATAACAAGAGCAAGAGCTGGGATTTATAAACCTAAGGCTTACAGCATGAAGAAAGTGAGCCTACATCACTACAACAAGCTTTGAGCAAAACCAAGTGGATGATGGCAATAGAAGAAGAGTTGAATGCTCTCATCAAGAACCAAACTTGGAGCTAGTGGCACAAGGATATTCTCAGATCCCATGTTTGGATTTTTCTAAGACTTGTAGTCCTGTGATCAAACATAACACAATAAGGATCTTCCTTACACTTGCAGTTAATCACTCATGGATGATATGGCAGATTGATGTCAGTAATGCCTTTTTAAATGGTGAGTTGGATGAGGTGATATATATGAAACAGCCACCTGGTTTTGAGGTTAAAAGGAAAGAGAACTTAGTTTGCAAGTTGTGCAATGCTCTGTATGGGTAGAAGGCATCCAGGGTCTGGTTTAGCAAAGTTAAGGGAGTACTTAAGACTATGGGTTTTAATGATTCAAAAGCCGATAGCTCTCTCTTCTTCAGGACAAAAAATGAGGGACATTTGTTTGTTTTACTGTATGTTGATGACATCCTTGTCACAGGAACACATCATCATGAAATCAATGAATTTGTTGACAAGTTTGGAAAGATCTTTGCCATCAAAGACCTTGGAGAAATGGAGCATTTCCTTGGAATGGAAGTTAAAAGAACAGAAGAAGGATTATTCTTGAATCAAGGGAGTTATGTCAGAGACCTATTCAAGAAAATAAAGATGCAAGATGCTAAACCTCTGCCTACTCCTATGATCTCTTCACCTCAACTTCCCAAATATGTAGAAGATCCTATAGTAGATGCAACTTTATACAGAAGTGTAGTAGGTGCACTGCAATATGTCACCATAACAAGACCAGAAAAGAGCTATTCGGTGAATAAGGTAAGTCAATATATGGGTTCTCCCTTAGATACTCACTGGAAGGCAGTGAAGAGAATACTTAGATACTTAGCTGGAACATTAGATTTTGGGCTGCAAATCAGAAAGTCACCTCATTAGCATGTGAATGCCTTCTCAGATTCAGACTGGGGGGTTGATATAGATGATAGAAGGTCAGTGACAGGATATTGTGTGTTCTTGGGAAGGAGCTTGATATCATGGTCATCCAAGAAGCAATCCTCAGTTTCTAGATCAAGTACAGAATCAGAATACAAAAGCTTAGCCCATGCAGCATCAGAGGTTATGTGAATTAAATCTCTACTCACATAAATAGGTTTGAGCTTGAATAAAAGTCCTGTGATATGGGTTGACAATCAAAGCACAGTTTTTCATGCCTCAAACCCAATCATGCATGGAAGAGAAGAGCTGGACTATCACTTTGTCAGGGAAAAATAACAAAGGGATTGATACATGTTCATCATATTCCCTCAGCTGAGCAAATTGCAGATGTTTTTACAAAACCTCTGTCAAATCAATTCTTCTCTCAGCTTAGAAATAAGTTAGGTGTGATATCTAAGTCTTCGATCGAATTAAGGGGGAGTGTGAGCAATCAAAGCATTTTGGCTCAACCAAACAGGACCCAACAAAAGCAAACAGACACTTCATGCAAGAAGACAAATTCCAGCACCACTTTATCATGCATGGATATAACATGTGGGCCACGTAGTCCATGTTTTCCTACAGTTAGATTAGAATTATTTAGAGCAGAATCCACCATTCATTCTAGATATAAATATATGTTACATGAGTTGATTTTCTAGGTTTTACAATTTCTAAGAAACATTCTGTAGCCGTCATGTACCTTTCTTGAAAATGAATAGAAAAGTGTTGCATGAAATCTGTAGGTTTTTTTGATGTTTATGTTCGATTTCTTTCAATAAGTCATTAATTTTCCATAGTTCTTTTTATTATTTATTTATTTTATATAATTAATTTGTACATATGAGAATGGTGGAATTTAAACTTACTTGAATCGCCTCTGATATGTTTGCGATCACCAAATTCACGTAATCTTCTGGGCAACGAAAAGAATGCAAAAAGGTATCATTTAGCAGAAAAGGGCTGATGTAATCACTTGAACCAAAGCTCATAATGTTGATAGCATTTGATATAATACTTTTAGCTTTAGCTCCACCAATCTTGCCTTTCAGAACTTGAACTTCTTTCTTATAGTACTTTAGTTGTGTTTTGAGGTCAATCACCTGATTATTTTTTT